TAAAACCCTATAAGTTAAGGCAACTCAAACGGTTTGAGGAAACCCGATTGCAACAAACCCTTTGAGTTACAAAACTAATCTATATGAGTACTGTGGACTTAATTTGAGTAAAAGAAGCAATTTGAGGACAGTAAACCCAATAAATGAAGAGAACTCAAACCAATTTAGTACTTCAAAACTCAATATGTTAAGGCAACTCAAACTGTTTGAGTTAAAAAAATGAATCTATATATGTACTGTGAACTTAATCCATTTGAGTAAACGAAGCAATTTGAGGAAAGTAAAACCCAATAGATGAAGAATAACTCAAGCAGAGTATTGTAAAACCCAATATGTTAACTCAAACGGTTTAAGGGAAACCGATTGCAACAAACCATTTGAGTTCAAAAAGTAAGCTATATGAGTACTGTGAACTTACTCTATTTAAGGTGAAGTAATGAGGTATTTAATTAACTTCATTACCTCAACACTGCCTTCAAAACTCTTTTCAAATGAGTAGAATCAACTTTCAGTCAATTTTGAGTTACCTCCACTCATTTCATTTGATAAAGTTGACTGTTGGGTCTTACAGTGTATCCCTGAGAATGATTAATGTAAGTAAAATACTGATATTTCACCACTAGATGTCAGTGTCAGATTTTCCCCAAATCCTTGGACTTGGTTTCATCCTGTAAGTGAAAATGTTCATATTTCAGACACATCTATCAATATTTGAATATTAATTCATAAATATCTGGTTTGGACTGCTCATGCTTTTTTTAATAGAGAATGCCTCATAACAAAGGCTTTGTATTAGTTCATCTACAATTAAAAACACCAATATTGTAAATGGAACAAGATAAAACGATGATATTAATGTATAATTCTGAAGTAATATGATGCCATTTAAAGTTAACCAGATAAAATATGACATGGCTAAACTAAGATTCTGAGATATTTGTACTTTATGTTGTTGATGAAACCTTCATTCAAAGTTAAGTTATTTAATTGTGTGTGTGTGTGTGTGTGTGTGTGTGTGTGTGTGTGTATAAAGCTATGGAAATTTTATTTATATTGTTTGTATTTATAGGTTTGAGTGTTTTTAAAAATTGGTTTATTATATAGAATTATTATTGTTGTTATTTATTGTTGTAATTATTATTGTTTATTGTTATTTTTTTATAGTTATTCATTCATTTTCATTTCCCTTTATATATCAGGAGCACCTGGAAGAAGCCCACGCCAACATGGGGACTACATGCAAACTCCACACAGAAATGCCAACTGACCAGCCGGGGCTAAAACCAGTGACCTTCTTGCTGTGAGGCAATTGTTCTACCCACTGCGCCACAATCTATTATTATTATAATTTTTATTATTGGCTAATATTATTATTTTATTTATTATTATTATTATTATTATTATTACTATTATTATTTATTGTTTTTATAGATATTATTTTATTGTTGTTATTATTATTTTTATTATTATATATTATTATTACTATTATTGGTGTTGCTTATTGTTATTATTATTGTTTATTATTATTATTTTTGCTTATTGTTTTTATCATTGTTTATATTTATGTTTACTATTATTGTTGTTGTTTTTGTTTGATGTTATTATTATTGTTTATTATTATTAATGTTGTTATTATTATTGTTTATTATTATTATTATTTATTATTATTATTATTAATATTATTTATTGGTAATTATTATTATTATTTATTATTGTTGTTCATTATTTTTTTGTTTATTATTATTTATTGTTATAATTATTGTCATTATTATTGTTGTTTATTATTATTTGTGTTTTTATTATTATTATTATTGCTTATTGTTATTATTATTGTTTATTATTATTATTGTTACTGTTGCTTATTTTTGTTTATTATTATTATTGTTATTATTGTTTATTATTATTATTATTATTATTATTATTATTGTTCATTTTTATTATTATTATTTATTCATTCATTCATTATCTTAATTCGCCACAGTGTATGTTTTACGCAGCGGATGCCCTTTCAGCTGCAACCCATCTCTGGGAAACATCCACACACACTCATTCACTCTCATACATTACAAACAATTTAACTCACCCAATTCACCTGTACCACACATGTGTTTGGACTGTAGGGGAAACTGGAGCACTCTGAGGAAACCCACGCCAACACGAAGAGAACATGCAAACTCCACACAGAAATGCCAACTGATGATGTCGAGGCTCGAACAGGTGGCCTTCTTGCTGTGAGGCAACAACACTACCTACTGCGCCACTATGTCACCATTATTATTATTATTATTATTGCTATTATTATATAAAGGGATAAATAAATAAAAAATTTGAGAAAATGTTGTGCATAAATTACAACTGGTCAAAATAAACACACATTTTCATTTGTTGTGATTGAAAATCAGGTTTAATCCACCAGATATTGCTTTCAAATTATATAAACATGACAACTCTTTAGGCTATTTGTGCAAAACTTAGTAAATAAATATCTTCAGTAGTTTGCAGAACACAACCAAACCAAGTATTAACTGTAAATCCATAGAACCTGAGAATTTCCAAGTGTTTTATATATGTTTTAGTAATAGACATAATGTATAACTCACATGCATCCTAAATAACACTAGTTATTGGAGACTGAATAGCTCTTGAGAAAAATTACTTTTAACTGACTTTAAATGCACCAATTATTGGCGTAACAGTGAATGACACAAATGGCACAGCTAATTATGCTGTAGTCATGGCGACACTGATGACTGGCAGGTGCTGGAGCGTATGTGAAGATGTACAAAATATCTGTGAGGGAATCCTGCTGGAGTAACACAGCATTTATTTTTATTATGTATTATGTATTATTATTTTTATTTATTTCATATTTTTATTTTATTTGTCCAGGTCCAGGACCAGTTTGTAATGCAGCAGCTGGTTTTATATTGATTGAGGATTGAAAAAGAAAGCCACCATTACTGCTCAGGTTATTGGCATGACAAAAAAAAAGTATTAAACTCCATGTGCAAGATTCATCACAAATAAATAGCCATGCAACACTGAACAAAAAATGGCCTGAGAACATTTAGAAACCAGGCACATTACAATGAGCTGAAACACTGAAAACAACTGTTTAGCATTGCTATGGTAACCACCCAGAACACCCTAGTAACAACCTTGCAATGAGCTAAAAACAATGAAAACACCTTAGCAGCTATTTAGAATTGCCATAGCAACCAGATAACAATAAGCTAAAAACAACAATAACACCTTAGCAACAGTAAAGGATTACTATGCCAACCACCCAGACCACCGTAGAGACATTACATTGAGCCAAAAACCCTGAAAACACCTTAGCAACCATTTAACATTGCTATGGCAACCACTCAGAACACTGTATAAACAACATTACACTGAGCTAAAAACAATAAGAACACCTTAGCAACTGTTTAGCATTGCCATGGCATTACATAAGAACACAACAGCAACCACATTACAATAAGCTGAAACCACTAAGAACACCTTAGCAACCATTTAGAATTTCTATGGCAACCACATTACAATAAGCTAAGAACACATTAGCAACTGTTTAGCATTGCCATGGCAACCACACAGAACGCTCTAGCAACCACATTACAATGAATTAAAAACACTGACAACACCTTAGCAACTGTTTAGCATTGCCATGGCAACCACCTTACAATAAGCTGAAACAACTAAAAATACCTCAGCAACCATTTAGAATTGCCATGGCAACCACACAGAACACCCTGGCAACCACATAACAATGAGCTAAAAACACTGAAGACACCTTAGAAACTGTTTAGCATTGTGATGACAACCACCCAGAACACTGTAGAGACATTACAGTGAGCCAAAAACACTGAGAAAACCTTAGCAGCCATTTAACATTGCTATGACAACCACCCAGAACACCCTATACACAGCATTACAGTGAGCTAAAAACAATGAGAACATCTTAGCAACCATTTAGCATTGCCATGGCAACAACCCAGAACACCACAGCAACCACATTACAATGAGCTGAAACCACTGAGAACACCTTAGCAACAATTTAGCATTGCCATGGAAACCACACAGAACACCCTGGCAACCGCATTACAATGAGCTGAAACCACTAAGAACACCTTAGCAACCATTTATCATTGCCATGGCAACCACACAGAACACCACAGCAACCAAATTGCAATGAACTGAAACCACTGAGAACACCTTAGCAACCATTTAGTATTGCCATGGCAACCACCCAGAACACCCTGGCAACCACATAACAGTGAACTAAAACAACTGAAGACACATTAGAAACTGTTAAGCATTGCCATGGCAACCACCCAGAACACCTTGGCAACCACATTACAATGGTCTGAAACCACTGAGAGCATCTTAGCAACCATTTAGCATTGCCATGGCAACCACACAGAACACCCTGAAAACCACATAACAATGAACTAAAAACACTGAAGACACATTAGAAACTGTTTAGCATTGCCATGGCAACCACCCAGAACACTCTGGAAACCACATAACAATGAACTAAAAACACTGAAGACACCTTAGAAACTGTTTAGCATTGTCATGGCAACCACCCAGAAAACGTAGAGACATTACATTGAGCCAAAAACACTGCGAATGTAGGAGAAACTGTTTAGCATTGCCATGGAAATATGGAAATATATGAAAAATTAGATTTTTTTTCCTATAATTTAATCATTTTTAGTAGATTAATTCTCAATTTAGGAATATGTTTATGTGTTTGTATTAAAAATTCTCTCATTCATGAACTAGAAATGTTTTTCAGTAATGTTTTATCAATAGTTTTTGCTATGTTTGTTGTAATGCGACCTTAGGAGTCTAGAAAGGCGCTGTCAAAAACGAATCATTATCATCATTAGTATTAATAATACTTGAGAATAAACATCACAGAAAACAAACCCAAAGGAGTTCTCCATGTTTAGTGCAGGAGTTCCTCAAGGCTCCCTTCTGAGTCCTGTAGAGTTCTGGAACTTTACCCAGCATCCTCTTCGCGCTCAACATGGAGGAACTGACGGTGGAGGTCCGTGGCTCCAATGGAGCTTATTATAAGGTAAATGCATCATTGTACTTCATCATGTCTCACTACACACACGCATCTGTCTCTTAAGACGTCAAACATGCTAACAACCTCAAGTAAACGTTATAAAACGATCTACATCAGTCACTTTATCGCGTATAAACAGTGCTCGGCTCAGTGTCTGTCTGTTAGCCGTTAGCCGGTTAGCAGCAGCGCGGTGATGATATTTAAATAAGAAACTGCATTTTATATAATGCTAACTGTGGTTTAACCTCGACGACACACACAGACGCAGTTTAACAGTGAAGAGTCGGGGAATTATGGTTGAAATAATATACTTTTGCTTTCAGTTTAGGTGTTCCTGATCACTATTCACTCAGCCCTTTGATTGTGTTCATCTATAACAACAGAATCGCAATAAGCTCTCTGAGAAAACATAACACGACACAAAAGTTAATATAACAGCTAGAAATTGTACATTGTTGCCCATAAACCTGCTGTCTAATGCTATGTGTTAAGCACATCACACAAAAAACAACCATTTGTGTTCATTTATAATGAAAGTAAAACTGTTTAGTTGAGCAAGAGTGCTTGTATTACTCTAATGGAAGCTAGTTTGAGATACAAAGACGCCAGGACACTCATAATCATAATTTAAGGTGTGGCCAGAAGATATTAGATCAAATGCTGCTGGTCCAAATTTAATATACAGTCTCCTAATCTCAAGTTGTCTTTTTGAAGACCAACCTAGGGTTGTATTTAGTGTAGGTCAATATTGTTTTCTGCACATTATTGAAGATCTTAGTTATTCAGTGCTTGTGCGATTCTCAGCTGTCCGCTGTCCATCTTCATCTGTCGTCCAGCGCAGCAGATATTTTAACACCAGGCTATTTTAAGATGAGCTTTATGGCATTCCTGCAACCATTTTGGAGTTGGTTGCCACTGAGCGGGCAGTGCTGACCGGTTTTTATCAGTTTGACTTTATTTATCATCACATTTACTAACACTTCTTTTGTGTTTTAGTCATCAACATGTTTGGTGAATGATCAAGCACGGTTTATGTAAATATGCTTCTGCTGTATTCGTGAGTCATTCATTATAATAATGATTCAGATCATATTTAGGGATTTGTTAAAATAAAGCAGCTTCAGAAATGTTGGGTGTTTGTTTCTGTGTGTGTGTGTGTGTCTGACTGGGAAGATTGTAGGGAGCAAGTATTTTTTTTTATTTACAGGTCAAAAATGGAAAAAATTAATTACAGTGTTCTTTTTAAATGTTTTTTTTTTTTTCATTTGTTAAAATTGTTTTATCTATCATTCATATTTTTACCAGATTAAAAAATTATATATTTCTTTTTACATCAGACACCTAATAAAATGTAATTGTAAATATGTTTTATTTCAGTTTTTATATGATATTTTAATGTGCTTATTTTGTACTATATGATTGCTTTATTATTGTTTATAATCATAGGAATAATAATATAGCTATTTTAGTATAACTGAGAACTTATTTTTTATTAACACTTCATTATCTTTTTATTTTTGATTTCTTTTAATTTGATATTTAATTATATGCTTTTTTTCAAACGTTAAAATATGCCTTGCTTTATCCATCTATTTATCAGCTTGAAAAATAAATAAAATAAGTCACTATCATACATTTTCGAAGGAGACACCTAATAAAATTGTATTTAATTCTTAGCTTTTTATTTTAATGTGCTTATTTTGTACTATATAATTATTTTGTTATTGATATTAATAATTACAATGATAGTGATAGTTATTTTAATATCACTGAGGACTATTAGTATTTATTAAGACTCAATAATCTTTTTTATTTTATCTATTTATAAGCTTTTTTCAAATGTTAAAATGTGCGTTGCTTCATCCATCCATTATTTTATAAGCTTAAAAAATACAGAAATAAATTACTATCATACATTTTTACATTTTTTAACAGGAGGCACCTAATAAAATGTAATTGAAAATATGTTTTAAAACAGTAAAAAATGTATATTTGTTAGTATTTTATTTCTGTTTCTATATGATATTTTAATGTGCTTATTTTGTACTATATGATTGCTTTAATATTGTTTATCAGAATAATATAGGTATTTTTGTATAACTAAAAACTATTCGTTTTTATTAACACCTCGTTATCTTTTATTTTTATTTTCTTTTAATTTGATATTTATTTATATGCTTTTTTTCAAACTTTAAAATATGACTTGCTTTATCCATCTATTTACCAGCTTAAAAAAATAAATATAAATAATTCACTATCATACAGTTTCGCAGGAGACACCTAATACAATCTGAATCAAAATCTGAATTAAATCAAAATATATTTTAAAATAGTAAAAAAGTTAGGTTTATTGTATTTTATTTAATTCTTAGCTTTTATTTAAATGTGTTTATTTTTTACTGTATAATTATTTTGTTATTGGTAATAATGTTAATAATTATAATAATAATAAAAGTTATTTTAGTATCACAGAGGACTATTAGTATTTAAGACTAATATCTTTTTTTATTTTTTATTTTATGTATTTATATGCTTTTTTTCAAATGTTAAAATGTGTCTTGCTTCATCCATCTATTATTTTAACAGCTTAAAAAATATAGAAATAAATCACTATCATACATTTTTAAATTTTATAACAGGACACGCTTAATAAAATGTAATTCAAAATAAAATAGCAAAAAATTTAATTGCAATTGAAACAGATTTTGGTAAATAATAAAAAAATTAATTAGTTGTTTGGCTGGGCCATTCTACAGCTTGGTTTTATTTCACTGAAAGCATCTGAGAGTCTCCTCGGCTGTGTTTTGGATGATTGTCTTGCTGAAATGTCCACCCTGGGTTCATCTTCATCCTCCTGCTAATGTAGATGTTGGACTGAAGCAGCTGATATTCATTTGCACTGAGGAAGGACAGAGAGTTGCTGAAGAGCTACTGAGAGATTTCAGCTGCTGTCTGGGCTTTCCATGTCTTTCTACACCTCCCTTTCTTCATGTGTTCAATACTTTTCCCTGTGTCATTTCATTTTATTACACAGAACTTCATTTATAAACTGGTTAGATTTGTTTTCTTTGCATAAATGGATTTCTTTGGTTGTTACCAACATCCAGTTATGATTTCAAGTCAACAGCACCTTTAGAAATATGTTTTCTGAGGAAAAATGGTGATGTGTTCAATACTTATTTTCCCTGCTGTATGATCGGAGGCAAAATTCACAAGCATGTGCAATAGGATATATTCCAAATGTACCACAAAATCAAATCATAAACAATAGTAGCAAATATGATAACTAAGTATTTACCAAATAAACAGATACAAGAGTTTTAAGGGGCAAAATAATATAAAGAAATTTTCGTGATCCTTAACAATCAAGAAGTAAACAAATCAATAGATTGACGGAGGTAAGGAAAAGAGGGAAATATATCATCTATTAGTACTATTATTTACTTATTAGTTAGAATAAAGAATAAGCTAATAATCTGTGTAATTGTCTTTATTCCAGGGCTTTGTCAGAGACGTTCACGATGACTCGCTCTCCATTTCGTTCGAGAATAAGTGAGTAGAAGCAAACAGTTGAATTGTAATACAGTTTAAATGAGCAGATGAACATCATGATGTGGAAATGATTTTCTCAGCTGGCAGCCAGAGAGACAAGTGCCCTTCAGCGATGTTCGGTTACCGCCATCCGCAGACACCAAGAAGGAGATCGGGGAAGGAGAAGAGGTGGAGGTGAGCAAAAATACCTGTATCAGCAGCAGCAGCACTATGTGTTATTTCACTCTTAGACGCACTGCAAAGCTACTTAAAGGGATAGTTCATTTTAAAGGGATAGTTTAAAATAATATAATTTAATCACACTTGACTTGTTTTAAACCTGTTTGAGAATATATCTGTTGAACACAAAAGAAGATACTTTGAAGAATGTTGCAAACCAGTAACCATTGGTTTCTATAGTATTTGTTTTATCACTGTGGAAGTCAATGGTTACCGGTTTCCAGCATTCTTCAAAATATCTTTGCTGTTGCTTTAATATTTTAAAATCTGACATCTAAATCATCAGAAATTAAAAACATTAGAAACCGAAAAGTCCAAGAAAGCTTATCAAGTCTTTTTAATCAGCTTTCTATATCATGCTTTTAATAAATATGTTTGGCAGTTTTGTTATCAGTTGTTTTTAGCATAATTTGGAGTCAACATTTAAAGTCTAGAAAGGCGCTGTCTGAAAATACAGTGTATTATTATTAACACTCGAGAATAAATTAAAGACCTCTATCAGCAGTGACACTGTTTGCTTTTTCTCTGCTGCAAGCGCTACAAAGCTTCTTAAAGGGATAGTTCACCTTAAAAATAAAAATATCATCATCATTTAATCACACTTGCTCCAAACCTGTTTAAGTTTCTTTCTTTTGTTGAACACAAAAGAAGATAATTTGAAGAATGTTGGAAACTTGTCACCGTTGACTTCCAAAGTAATAAAACAAATACTATAAAAGCTAGAATACTATAAAAGTGTTTTATTACTATAAGTACTATAAGCAGTTTCCACTGTTCTTCAAAATATCTTTGTTGTTGCTTGAATATAATTAAATCAGACATCTAAATCATCAGAGAGTGATGTTGTGATGACGTTAGAAACCAAAAAGTCCAAGAAAACTATCAAGTCCCCATCTTTTTAATCTAGCTTTCTATAACTAATTTCTTTATCATGCTTTTAAAAAATATGTTTAATCAATTGTTTTAGCATGTTTGTTGCAAGGCGACATTAGGTGTCTGGAAAGGCACTGGGGGGGGGTGTCTCTCCACACCACCACCAGTGTGCAGCATCCACTTGGATGAGTCGGGACCTCGTTTTAACATCTCATCCAAAAGACAGTATACACAGTATTCACTATACACGGGCATTAGGACCCACACAGACCCCTGCTGTCCTCTCTAACACCACTTCAACAGCAACCTAGCTTTCCCATGAGGTCTCCCATCCAGGTTCTGTCAGTGCACTCAGTCAGCAGGTGAACATGATGGTAATATTAGTGTTTTCTTGTGTGTGTTTGTTTGCAGATCTTCTCCAGGGCCAACGAGCAGGAGCCGTGTGGATGGTGGCTGGCTAAAGTGCGCATGATGAAGGGCGACGTGAGTCCTCAGATCACTTTGTTTTTATTTTAAAGTTTGTTTTATATATATATATATATATATATATATATATATATATATATATATATATATATATATATATATATATATATATATATATATATATTTTTTATTTTTTATTTTTTTTTTTTTTATTGGCAATATTACAGTGGAAAAAATATACATATAAAGTATAAACAAAACCAATTTAAGCACACACAATGATATAAAAAAATCACACAAAATTAAACAAAAAATAAAATAAAAATGTGGCCTAACAAAGATTAAAAAAATCTGTATCTCACAATTCATTTCTCACATCACTTTTACTTGTCTTTATGGATTTTAATGACAATATTAAATTTGAAAAAAGACAAAAATAATTAGATAAATAAAAAAGTACCAACTTAAGCACATACAATTAAATGATAAGTTTATCAACAAGTTAAATAATAATGACTAATAATTGCATGACAGATCTCAGATCAGTTTCTGTTTCCCGTGAAGACTCAGAGTTGACTTTCACTTTTGTTTCGCTGCAGTTCTATGTGATTGAATATGCCGCCTGTGATGCCACATATAACGAGATTGTGACGTTTGAGCGTCTGCGTCCTGTGAACCGGAATAAAGCGGTGACCGAGAGCACGTTCTTCAGGTGCAGCGTTCCTGTCCCGGAGGACCTCAGAGCTGCGTGAGTAATGGACACACACACACACACTAACATGGGTGTGTCCAACACTTCAGAAATTAAGAGCTCAGCACATAGGAGATATGCATATTCATCCTAGGACATCCTGTTTTAATGTAGAAAGAAGTAAAAATGAAAAAAGGAAGATGTTTTTACATGTTTAATGATTTATATATTATTATTTATATTAAATTATGTACTTGAAAGAATTATATCCCCCTCTTTTTCATTTATTTTCTCTCTTTCCCTCTCTATATATATTTTGTTCATTTATATATATATATATATATATATATATATATATATATATATATATATATATATATATATACACACACACACACATTTATTTATATATATATATATATATATATGTATGTATGTATGTATGTATGTATGTATGCATGTATGTATGTATGTATTGTGTGTGTGTGTGTGTGTGTGTATATATATGCATACACGCACACACACACAGTTGAAGTCAGAATTATTAGCCCCGCTTTGAATATTTTTTCTTTATAGTAAAGTATAGTATAGTAAAACATCCTCTGTCCTTCGGTTACATTAATTGAGTTTGTTTAATATATTTTAATTAAAGTGGAAATCAATTTACAAAATAATGTACACTTGACTGGGTGCTTCTTCACTTTAAGACAGATCAGGATGCTTTATTAAATGTTAATTTTAGCAATTTATTATAATAGTTGTATCATAAATTGATCTAATACATTATTTTTAAGTAGATTCAGGGCTCGACAATAAGGACTGCTGGATGGCTCGGGCAAGTGGACAGATTGGCTAGATTGGTCCAATCGGGCCAGAACTGCCTTGTCACAAAAGATTAGTTTGGCTGCGGCTGTCTGTCAATTGCGTGCAAATACAATCAATCTTAGGGTGCTTTCACACATAGACGCTTATTTCGGAACCTGTCTCGTCTCCCCCCGTTAGCACGGTTTGTTTGGCACATGTGAATCCCGCAAAATAAGACATTTTAGGTTGCAAATATAAAAAAAAATCACTGTATGTAAAATAAGTTTTCTTCAATTCAATGTGTCTCCCTGTCAGGTGTGAGAGTGAACAAGCCCACAAGGAGTTCAAGAAGGCAGTGGGAGCCATTCGCATCGTTTACAGCCCTGAGAAAAGTGAACTGGTTGTTCTGGTGAGTCCACAGTAAAGCTCAACACATGTAAACATACTGAAACATGACCAAAGAGTAAGCCAATCTCCCTCCACTCCTGCAGTCCCTGAGCGAAGCCACGGTGAAGCGCGTCTCTCTGCTGAGCGACATTCATTTACGCAGCATCCGCACAAAACTCATGCTCATGTCCAGAAACCAGGAGGCCACCAAACATCTGGAGGTAAAGCTGCTGCTGTCAAGTTGACACATAAATGTCTCATTTCCAATGAGCGGTACGGTTCATTCGGTATGGTACGGGTCACCTTTATCAGGCTTGTGTCTCTACTGCCAATGGTACTCTTTTGGTGGGCGTGGCTTAAACGGAAAGTTGCAGTCGATGTGATTCACACATATGAGAAGCACTTCTCGTATGTTAGTACCCTTTAGAAAGCATACCTAAAATTTGGTACTGAATGGTTCAGTACATTTGTAAATCGACAAATAAAGTGTACCGTACCGAGCTGTACCACTCACCAGAGGTTCTTTGCCTTGCTAATGTGTTAACTTAGCACTGGTGATGAATTGTGATGGGTACTCCTTTGGAAAGGTTACCTAAAGAGTGGTACGGTTGACTTTCTTGCTACCTTTGACAGTGGAAATGGACAAAAAAAAAAGCAAACCTCTTAATGGAAATGGGCCTTAAGTTTTTTTCCCGCTAACTTGGCAGTGGCGATGCATTTAATATAAAGTTTGTAAATGTGTTTTGTCTCTTGATGTAGAGCACAAAGCAGCTGGCGTCAGCATTTCAGGAAGAGTTCACTGTGAGAGAAGACCTCATGGGCCTCGCCATCGGGAGCCACGGCAGTAACATTCAGCAGGCCAGAAAAGTGCCCGGCGTGACCGCCATCGAACTGGAGGAGGAGACGGGAACCTTCAGGATCTATGGAGAGGTGCGTTTGCTGTCTGTGAGCAGCGTAGCTTCAGTTACACTGCTGCTTTTATAATAAACATGATGCGCTCATATTGCAGAGCACAGAGGCCGTGCAGAAAGCAAGAAATTATCTGGAGTTTCTTGAAGATTCAGTGCAGATTCCTCGCAACCTTGTTGGTATGTAGTTAATTAATATGTATATTTCTTTTACATTTTTTGCTTTTGAGCTTAGCTTTTGAGTTAACCTAACTAATATCAGGTAGGAGGAAATCTCTCCAGCGCTTTTGCAAGCAAACACAAGTTGCAAGTTTTAGCAAGCGTAGTGACGTTGTGGGTGCTTCTGATTTCTGTTTCAGCTCTGGCAAAAAACGTTTGATAAACCAGTTCTGAATTGAATTAAAATTTTTTAAAAATACATTACTCGCCTCTCTTGAATCAATTCTGTGCACAGTTTTTAACAGCAGATGGTGCTCAAGGCCATCTCTAGGCTTAAAAACTAGCCTAAACGCCATCTGCTATAAAAACTTGTTTAAAGCACTATATGCTGTTTTAAAATATCTAGAGCGCCATCTGCTGTTAAAACAGTTGCCCAATATGTCATCTGCAGTTAAACATCTTCTTTTCAAAACTAGCCTCGATATCCTTCTGTTGTTAAATATTAGCTTAGAGCACCGACTGCTGTTAAAAACTAGCCTAGAGCAGCATCTGCTGTTAACAACCAGCATAGAGCACCGACAGCTGTTCAAAACTAGCCTAGAGCGCCATCTGCTGTTAAAAACTAGCCTAGAGCAGCATCTGCTGTTAACAACCAGCATAGAGCACCGACAGCTGTTAAAAACTAGCCTAGAGCGCCATCTGCTGTTCAAAACTAGCCTAGAGCAGCATCTGCTGTTAACAACCAGCATAGAGCACCGACAGCTGTTAAAAACTAGTCTAGAACGCCATCTGCTGTTCAAAACTAGCCTAGAGCAGGATCTGCTGTTAACAACCAGCATAGAGCACCGACAGCTGTTCAAAACTAGCCTAGAGCGCCATCTGCTATTAAAACTAGCCTAGAGCACCATCTGCTGTTAAAAACTAGCCTAGAGTAGCATCTGCTGTTAAAAACCAGTATAGAGCACCGACAGCTGTTCAAAACTAGCCTAGAGCGCCATCTGCTGTTCAAAACTAGCCTAGAGCGCCATCTGCTGTTCAAAACTAGCCTAGAGCGCCATCGGCTGTTCAAAACTAGCCTAGAGCGCCATCGGCTGTTCAAAACTAGCCTAGAGCGCCATCGGCTGTTCAAAACTAGCCTAGAGCGCCATCTACTGTTCAAAACTAGCCTAGAAAGCCATCTGGTATTCAAAACAAGCCTAGAGTGCCATCTGCTGTTCAAAACTAGCCTAGAGCGCCATCTGCTGTTCAAAACTAGTCTAGAGCACCATCCAATGTTTAAAAACTAGCCTAGAGCATGCCGTCTGCTGTTAAACACTAGCCTAGAGCACCATCTGCTGTTAAAAACTAGCCTAGAGCAGCATCTGCTGATAAACACTAGCCTAGAGCAGCATCTGCTGTTAACAACCAGCATAGAGCACCGACAGCTGTTCAAAACTAGTATAGAGTGCCATCTACTGTTCAAAACTAGCCTAGAGCGCCATCGCCATCTACTGTTCAAAACTAGCCTAGAGCACCATCTGCTGTTCAAAACTAGCCTAGAGCGCCATCTACTGTTCAAAACTAGCCTAGAGTGTCATCTGCTGTTCAAAACTAGCCTACAGCGCCATCGGCTGTTCAAAACTAGTTTAGAGCACCATCCACTGTTTAAAAACTAGCCTAGAGCATGCTGTCTGCTGTTAAACACTAGTCTAGAGTGCCATCTGGTTTTCAAAACTAGCCTAGAGTGTTGTCTGTTTTTAAAAACTAGCCTAGAGCACCATCCACTGTTTGAAAACTAGCCTAGAGCAACATCTGCTGTTAAACAGCAGCCTAGAGCTTTATCTGCTTTTCAAAGCTAGCCTAGAGCGCCCTCTACTGTTAAACACTAGCCTAGAGCACCATCTGCTGTTAAGGACTAGCCTAGAGCGCCGTCTGCTGTTCAAAACTAGCCTAGAACGCTGCTGCTGTTCAAGGCTAGCCTAAAGTGTTGTGTGATGGTGGAATAGTGTCATTCTGTTGTTGATTTCTCATACTCTTGAATTTGCTCAGTCAATTTGAACGGTTTTCACATGTTTTTTTTCTTTCATAGGTAAGGTTATTGGAAAAAATGGCAAGGTGATCCAGGAGATTGTGGATAAATCTGGTGTGGTGAGAGTGCGCATCGAAGGGGACAATGACAACAAACTCCCTCGACAAGAAGTAAGACTTCTCAAAGCAGCACCAGAGATTAAGCCACTTCAGTGCTTTCACACACGATCGCTGCGTCCCAATTCATCTACTTGTACTGCAATTATCTCAACATCATCATCCACATTTCTGTCATATTTCATTTCCTTCCATGTTTTAGCAGCAGGGCGAGGCAGTGGCGCAGTAGGTAGTGCTGTCGCCTCACAGCAAAAAGGTCGCTGGGTCGCTGGTTTGAACCTCGGCTCAGTTGGCGTTTCTGTGCGGAGTTTGCATGTTCTCCCTGCCTTCGCATGGGTTTCCTCCGGGTGCTCCAGTTTCCCCCACAGTCCAAAGACATGCGTTACAGGTGAATTAAGTTGGCTAAATTGTCCGTAGTCTATGACTGTGTGTGTGAATGTGTTCGTGGATGTTTCCCAGAGATGGGTTGCGGCTGGAAGGGCATCCGCTGCGTAAAAACTTGCTGGATAAGCTGGCGGTTCATTCCGCTGTGGTGACCCCGGATTAATAAAGGGACCAAGCCAACAAGAAAATGAATGAATGAATTTTAGCAGCAGGTTAATCTGCCATTCACGAGTCTTAGGGTGCTTTCACACCTAGACTTTTGTTTCAGAGCTTAGTTGCCCAGTTAGCGCGGTTCGTTTGGCATAAGTGAATCCAGCAATCGCGCTCGGATCTGCGCCAAAACAATCGGTCCGAGATAGCCTGAATAAGGTGATCTCAGCTCGATTGAAACGAACTCTGAAGCGGATCGATTGAAGTGAGAAAGCGATAAGATCCGAGCTCGGCTATATCACAGTGTTTTATGGATATATAACAGGCATACGGCTATATGAAGAGAGAATTATGTGAAGGGCGGGAGATCATTCCAGACATCCCAAGTCTCCCGGAGATTCCAGGAGTCTCCCGCAAATGCACAGAGACTCCCGGATGCCTGCAAACAAGTAATCTCCAGGTAATCGCGCGTCTCCCTCCCAGTCTTCAAATATATCGTGCACCCTTCTTACCCTTCCCCACCGCATCCCTCATCGCTCTTCAGACACGTTGCCCGCACACTGTCAAACACCCCAAACCATTACCATCCCCCTGACAGCTGAGCGGGACTCTGCAAAATAAACCCTGAAACTCTAACCAATGTGAGGAGAGTTTACTCACACCTGTCTTGTTTTAGCTATTTTGGTCCGTTTAGAAACTTTGCCGTCTAAAAGCGAATCGCACCAAGAGCAAAGAGCAACATTGTAAAAGTTTTAATCCCTGTTTCAGAACAACAGAATCTACTCAGAGGTGTGAAAGCACCCTTAATGCAGAGAAATCTCCTCAGGTGGTACAGAATGCTGCATTCAGAAGTTAATGCCCAAACTAGGGTTGAGTACCGTTACCTAGGTAACTGGTTGGCACTGGACTGAATCAGCGTATCAGTTTCAATGCCACTGGTGCTGCAACAAGTACGTAAGAAGCATCAAGCTGTACATCAAAGGCACACATAGGTGCACGTTGTCACACCATTTCTAAACATGTAATTCTAAACAACCTTGAGGGATACGGACGCTGTTATCGATGCTAGGCGTTTGTTCTTGTTCTCAGCGACATATAAAAGGCAACACGCGCAGTACTGTCCGGTGAGCGACTCCCTTCATCATCATGCATGATCGCGTTCAATCAATTTGCTGAAACTAAGCGTTCTAAAGTATAGCTGTATTTTACAAGCAAGGATTCTGACAGCAGCAAGAAGCAGATGCTCTGCAAAAGTTGCGTGTTGGGGGGTAAACACGTCAAACTTGATGAAACATTTGAGGGCGCATGGAATTAACTTAATGCACTGTCTTTGACAGCTTGTGACATCATCTGGCACTTTCACTGAGTATGTTTACATGGACACCAATACTCATGATTAGGATAAATCTCTGATTAAGAGTCTACCATAAACAGAGATTTTAAATCACCATGAAGCACCACAGACACCCGCGTCACGAAGTGCACACCGATTTGTATTACACATACTGTAGTATAATATGCGCATTGGGGCGCAGCTATTGCGATGCAGCCAGCAAGCAGGCAATAATGTGTTTTATTATTTGCTTCCACAGGGAATGGTGCCGTTTACATTTGTTGGAACGAAGGAGAGCATCAGCAACGTACAGGTGCTGCTGGAGTACCACATCGCTTACCTGAACGTGAGTGTTTAGCAACTCTTCACAGACTCTTTAGAAGCATTGTGGAGATGCTCATATGTGTGTGTGTCTGTGTGTGCATGTGCAGGAGGTGGAGCAGCTGCGTCTGGAGCGTTTGCAGATTGATGAGCAGCTCCGACAGATTGGGATGGGCTTCAGATCCGTCCCAAACCGGCCTGCAGATAAAGAGAAAGGCTTCGGCCCTGATGAGAGCAGCAGTGGCTCCATCCACACCCAGCGCTCCTACAGGGGCAGAGGCCGCAGGGGGCCAGCACACACCTCTGCTTACGGTGCGAGATCCTCTCTCTTCTACTCCTCCTCCTCTTTCACTCTTTTCTCCTTTCTTCTACTTTTCCTCCTTTTCTCCTTTCTTCTCTTTCTTGTTTTTTTCCTTCTCCTTTTTTCTACTCTGTTCTGTTCTACTCTTTTATATTTTTCCTTCTCCTTTTGTTCATTCTTTTTGTTCTTTTTGTTCTTTTTGTTTGTTCGTTTTTTCGTTCTTTTTAGTTTGTTCTTTTTTTTGTTTGTTAGTTCTTTTCATTGGTTTGTGCTTTTCGTTAGTTTGTCCTTTTTGTTTGTTCTTTTCATTCGTTCATTTCATTTGTTTGTGCTTTTTGTTCGTTTGTGCTCTTTGTTCTTTTCGTGCGTTTGTGCTTTTCGTTCGTTCGTGCTTTTTGTTTGTTCGTTTTCGTTTGTTCATTTTGTTCACTCGTTCTTTTCATTCGTTCATTCTTTTCGTTCAGTTGTGCTTTTTGTTCTTATTCTCCTCATTTGTCCCCATCTGCTCTTCTCATGTTTCTCGTTTTTACTTCTTTTCTTGTTCTACTGTTCTGTTCTTCAATCTTATTTTTCTCCTCTTTCAGATCTTATTCTCCTTTCTTTTCTTTTTTGTTTCTTCTACTTTGGTTTTTATTCTCCAATTCTTCTTTTTTTCACTTCTGTTCTTCTGTTTTGTTCTTCCATCCTTGCCTTCTCCTCATTTAATTCTTCTCCTTTCTTTTCTCATTTTTTTCTTATCCAGTACTTCTCTTACATCTTCAGTTCTTCTTCTACTCTAGTTATTCTTCTCATTTCTTTCATGCTTCTCCTTCAGTTCTTCTATTCCTCCTTCAGTTCTTCTCCTCATTCTTCTTCGTCTGCTCTTGTTTTTCTTTTCTGTTCTTCCATTTTCGTCTTCTTTTTCTTCTTCAGGTCTCCTCCTGGTTCAGTTCTTGTGCTTGTTTTCTTTGTCTCCTCTTTTTTCTTCTGCTTCTCCAACTCCTCTTCATCTTCCCTTTCTCCCTTTTCTTCTTTTCCCTCTTTAGTTCTTCTTAATCAGACCTTTGTTGGTTATTTAAGTTGCTGTCGTCTTTCTATGAGTCTTGATCTTTTCATGTGTGATTAGTTTAAAGCAGTGAAACTGCTGCAGTATATCCTGCATTGACTAATAAAAGTCTTTATGTTTCTCCATTTCTCCTCAGGCACAAACTCTGAGCACTCCTACACCTCAGAAACAGACTCTGAGCGTAAAGCGGAGCTCAGCGACTGGTCTCTGGCAGCAGACGAGTCCGAGAGAAACCCTAGACCGCAGAGAGACAGCCGAAGGAGAGACCTGCGAGGGCGAGGAAGAGGAAGTAGAGGAAGAGGAGCCTCCAACTCCATCAGCTCAGGTTTTACAGCCTTATCAAAAACTGTCTGCATGAAACAGGGGGCCGGTGTTCTGCATAGCTAGCTCTATATTTCTTCAACACCTGCCTGGAAGTTTCTAGTATAGACTGAACTTGATTACCGTTCAGGTGTGTCTAATTGGGGTTGGCTAAGCATAATTTTTAGATATTTGGACTAGAAACAAGACAAAACTTATCAAGTAAGAACAGCATTTTTGTTTGTAATGTGGTTATTAAGTGTGCTTGTTCTGTGTCAGTGCTGAAGGATCCGGACGGGAACCCGTATAGTCTGCTGGACAACACTGAGACAGACCAGACGGCCGATACTGATGGCAGTGAGTCTCAGATGAACACGAGCCGCCGCAGACGCTCTCGCCGTCGCCGCACCGATGAGGACACCACAGTCATGGATGGCATGAGCGAGTCTGACAACGCCTCACTCAGCGAGAACGGCCTCGGTAAAAACAACTACAACACATTGATTTGATTTAGTCATTCTTTTGCAAGGAAACGTAACTGTTTTGTCAGTTTAGTAGCTAATTCGTAAAATTCTGCACGGAAATATGTACAATATTATTTTAGTCATTCTTTTGCTCTGTAGTCTCTTGAGGAAACATAACCAACTATTTTACATTTTGTTAGTTTAGTGGCTAATTCATGCAAATTCATATAAGTTTAGAGAGATTAAGTCATTCTGTAGCTCCGGTTTCTGCAGCAGGATCTCATGGGGAAACGTATCTATTTTATGTTTTGTCAGTTTAGTGCCTAATTTGTACAAATTCTTACAAAAATATTATGATTTTATTCATTCTTTTGCTTTTTACACTCCAGCCTGATCTTGCGAGAAAACAACTGTTTTATGTTTTGTCAGTTTAGTGGCTAAATCATATGAATTTATAAAAGTTATGTTGTGCGAAAATTTACTATTCATTTAGTCTTTCTTTTGCTTTAGTCATATTCCAATATTCCAGCCTGATCTCACAAGGAACAAAACTATATTACGTTTTGTCAATTTAGTGGTTTATTCAAACAATTTCAGTCATGAGATAATGTAAGATTTTATTTAGTCATTCTTTTGGTTCGTATTCTCCTGCCTGATCTCACTAGGAAACATAACTATTTTGCGTTTTGTCAGTTCATGCGAGTTCAGTCATACAAAAATGTTGGATTTTTAAAGGGAGGCGTGGCACCAGAGCCCACCCCTAATCCCAACTGTCATTGGGGGGGTGAGCAAATCATAATAAAATAATCGACTAAAATCATACAAATTTAGTTTATTGGCGAATCCAAATTAATACTGTTGTTTGAAAATGTAATTTAGTCATTCTTTGGTTCCGTATTCTCCAGCCTGATCTCACTAGGACATGCAAATATTTTAGGTTTAGTCAGATTAGTGCCTAATTCATACAAATGTCTGATTTTTAAAAGAAGACGTGGCACTAAACTTTATCTGTAAACCTAACCATTCCTGGGAGATGAGCAAATTGTACTAAAATTTCCGAATGAGATCATATAAAATCAGTTTAGTGGCTAGTTCGTACGAATGTATACGAGTTCAGTTGTACGGAAATGTATGATTTTATTTAGTCATTCTTTTGCTCCGTATTCTCCATCCTGATCACACCAGGGAACAACTATTTTGTCAGTTTAGTGCTGGGGTTTTCAATCTCAGTCCTGGAGGGCCGGTGTCCTGCAGATTTTAGCTCCAACTCGCTTCAACACACCTGCAGGGATGTTTCTAGAAAGCCCAGTAAAGCGGCAGTCACACTAGAGTTTGTGTGTGCGAAATTCTGTCGTACGGTGCTGCGAAAAGGGGCGGGATTAAACACGATGATTAGACATTTTAAAAAGCGAGCGATGGCTCCATGTTTTAAACTTCTGTCCAGAGAGGTCATGTTTTGATCCTTGATTGGTCTCACGCAGTCAAGTGATGCGATTTCGCAGGTCAGAGTTCACCAAGCCTGAACTTTGCACTGCACTGACCTGCTAAACTTGACGTATGATCCTGCATTTCCGGTCTGACGCATTCGCGTGCGTATGAATGGAAGTCTATGGGGAGAAAAGTCCAGTGTGACCGCAGCTTAAGAGCTTGATTAGCCAGCCCAGGTGTGTCTGATTGGGCTTAGAACTAAACTTTGCAGGACACCGGCCCTCCAGGACACCCTTAGTTTAGTGGCTAATTCGTACAAATTAATACAAAATGTGATTTGAGATTATAATGATATATATATTTTTGTTTTTAGACTACTTATTAATCAGAGATATAATTTATTTTAGAAAAAATTCATAAATTACAAGATCAACTTTGGATTTCAAGACAAACCTGTGATCATTACAACAAACAATATTAAGTTTAATATAAAAATGTTATTAACACTTTTAAAATGAATATTAAGACTTTAAATCTCAATTGTCAAAGTCAAGATTAAGATGCATTTTAAGTTGTAAGATATAAAACTAAATGGACAGAAATAAACTCAATGGCAGGATATCAGCTGATAAACTTTAAACTGCAATGTACTCAGAACGTCTGTAAATAAACTTGTATATAATTAAAACACATTTATATATAAACCCTAAATATAGATTTGTTCAATTGAATAACATTGACTACATGAAATAGAGGAATCCCTCAAACTGGCCGTCAGTATTTAAGGACTGGTGTTTTATAGATGAAGCTGAAGCCAAATCTCAGCGGCGCAATCGCAGCCGCCGCCGCCGTTTCAGACCTGCTGAGGAGAGGCAGCCAGGTAAAGCAGCTTCAATTAACACTGCATGACACGTGCTGTGTTTCCCTCCACCTATTTATATGCTCATTTTGGAATATTGCATACAAAAATACTGAAAGTAATGCAATATGAGCATAAAAACGTGAAAAGTAGAATAAACTTTTAATTCAGTAGGAAAAAAAATGTGCATAAACTCTGATGTAAACACATTTAGTGAATAAACTGATGTGATTTAGTTTCTGACAGATGCTGATCAGATATACATGTGAGTTTGAGGGGCTTTGCATTAATGTTGGTTTGCAGCAGATGTTTCCAGCTTTACATTGTTGCAGATCTGAAACGCTGTTCTGCTGATTGTAAAAGGCCTCAGCCCTCCATCAGTCCATCATCACAGTGCTTCAGTAGTATTATTATTCTATTATTATTCCCTCCAGAACTGTCTTGAGCATCTGTCTGCACTCGTACAGTGTGTCTCGCCACGTTTCGTCTTCGTTTTCTGAGGCGCAGACTCATTTCTTAGGGTGCTTTCACATCTGTAGTTCGCTTCATTTGGTCCCGACCAAGGGTAATAAATGATACATTGTTGCATTTTCTGCCGTCTTTGAGTCGTTTTCACACCACACTGCTGGCTTTGGTCCGAACCAGTTGAAACAAACCAAAATGCAGTCATCTGACAAAATCCACATCTCTCGTTGGCCAGATGTTGTTGAACACATTTCCTAAACTGCTTATTGATTGGTCAGAATTCACGTGCGGGAAAATGCCAGTGAACTCCCGCAGGAGAACAAAAACTTTTACTCTGGAGGGACGACTGCGCTGGCTGATTGTATCCCTGCTTTAGACAAACTATACATTTGGAGAATGAAGCGCGGCCGCGGCTGGAAAACAGTGTTTAATGCATCACTCGTCACTGCAGGAGGAGGCGTGAATTAATTTAGCTAAACTGTGACATGCTCATGTGGAAATATTACCAACAATCCATCAGGTAATGTTTTCCCCTCTCTCTCTCTCTGTTGGTAAAGCGCTGTCAACAAATATTTTCCTCCATATCCCACAGCGCATCGGCCTACGGCAGCTGGATTAGTCCAAAACGCGCAGTACTTTTTCCGGTTGGACCTGTTTTAGTACGGATCATATTCTCACCACAAATGAACCGCTCCAGGGTTCGTTTGAAAGCGTACCGAGACCACCTCTTCAAGCAGGTCTCGGTACGCTTATTTGGTCCGCTTTTGGTGCGCACTCGAGTACGATTGCTGCATTCTCACCTGCCCAAACCAACCCTACCAAAAGGGAAAACAAACTCTAGTGCGATTCAATCCAACTAAATAAAGCAGGTGTGAAAGCACCCTTAGAGAAGAAGAAACACCAGAGTGGCGAATCCCAATGCAGCAAACTCCACTTCTCTGCCTCATATTTGCTCCAGTGTGTCAGGAGGTGATGGTTTTGTTCTCTTTCGCTTCTCATTGACTGGAAACGCTGCTTCATTCGCAAATCTTTTACACGTCTTTCAAGTTTTTGCGCATAAATCTAGTTCACGTTATTTGAATGGAAACACAGCTACTGAATGCCGTTTTCAGCTCACCAACACGAGCCTGCTGGGATGGGATTTTCAGCCATTTGCGTGATCTTGATTGGAAAACTGGTGGAATATTAACTGGTTGTGAAATTGCATAATGATTATTATATTATAGCCGGTTTGTATTAATTTGCATGGTTTTTATAAAAAACGCATGTAGACTTTACACAATCTAGTTGTTTACCTGAGGATTCTGTGAGATGCAGTGGCGTATGCAGTGCAGTTGCCTCCTCCACTAAGCGTGATTTCTGCGACCACCACAACCCCCGCCCTCCCCCAACGAGTGTGATTTCCACGACCGTCAGTCATTGCAGTGATCGTCAGAACCCCTTCAGTAACCCCTGCAGGGGTGCATCCGCATTTTGCGATACGCCACTGGTGATATGCTCAATATTTATTGCCTGCATTTATGCACTGCTACGTCGTTTTTCAGTCTTGAAATATTGAAAATGATCCACGAATAATTTCAGTCCTTGATCGCTTAACTGGATGAATTTCAGAGCACTATTAGCTTAGCTCAGCATAGATCATTGAATCGGATTAGATCATTAGCATCTCGCTCAAAAATGATAGGAGTTTTGATTATTTTTACTATTTAAAGCTGGACTTATATTGTGTACTGAGACTGACAGAAAATAAAAAGTTGTTATTTTCTATGCTGACATGGCTAAAACTTAAATTCCCATTCTAGCGTAATAATTAAGAAACTTTCCTGTTGTAGCATGACTGCAGCAGTGCAATATTACGCTGAAACTTTAAGGCAAGTCATTTTACTCGGCGGCCATCTTTGAAACGCTTCTTAAGCGGTATGCTCGGGCATTCGATTTGAATGGGGGAAACATCAAATCGAGATGCTAACGGTCTAATCCGATTCAATGATCTATGCTAAGCTAAGCTAACAGTGCCCCCGCCAGACTCTGGAATCCACTGAATGGTTTAAAAAATGGTGAAACTCGACTGAAAAGTATTATTTTAACTAAAATCTAAATGAAAATAATGATTCTGGGTTATTCTGATGCATATAAATGCACCTGCTCTCTAGAGTCTCAACTTTAAGAGCATTTTGTCAGAGGTGAAGCGCTCGTCTGCACTCACACAAATGCTTGTGCTGTTATTTGAGAATAATCCAGATCATCGTCATCTGTTGCAGTTACTGTGGCCGATTACATATCGCGAGCTGAGTCCCAGAGCCGACAGACAAACCCCAGAGACACGAGGAAGAGCAAGAAGGACATGGTAATGTACAATTCACTCTATTCACAAACCATGAGCTGTCGGTGCAAAAGCGTAGTGGTTAGCGCGCCGACATATGGTGCAATAGCACATCAGGGCGTTGCGAGTTCGAATCCCGGTTAGAGGACATTTCCCTACCGTACCCCCTCTCTCTCTCTCCCACTTCGCTTCCTGTCTCAATACTGTCCTATCTAATAAAGGCAAAAAGGCCAAAAAGAAATCTTAAAAAAAAAAAAAAAAAAAAAAAAATTATATATATATATATATATATATATATATATATATATATATATATGAACAAAACAAACAAACCATGAGCTAAGACTATTAACTCAATAAACTGCCTATTGATTGTTATTAAGGTAGTGTTAGGATTAGGGATTTGGAATAAGATCAAGCGCTAATAAACGGTTCAAATCTTTATTATTGGCAGGTAGTAAATGGTGTTATTTGATAGTTCACCTAATGTTTACAATGTATTTATATAACATTGCTAATCTTAACATTTTATCAATGATATCGGTTATTTGTAGGGATGCACCGATAGCATTTTTTTCAATCCGATCCCAATACCAAAGTTCTGAGTATCGACTTGTTTTTAAGTATAATATAGTTTCTATAGTTCTTGTGATAAACTCAAACAACATATCTTCTTGAGTAAAAATAACTGTATATGACAGACGACACAGCTAACTAAAACATGATGCTAGCTGTAAACTAGGCTTCATTACTTGAGCATTCGTTGTGACATTGATCTGTTGTGGTCCAGCTTATGTTCCCTTTTTAATCTTAAGATTTTTCTTTGAAATCCGTAATAAGCTTCCACTATTGACCCTTATCAAAACACAAACTGCTTTGTTAAATAAAATAAATATAAATAAAATGACAGTGAATTATTCACAGTTTCAGAGTAGCCTATATTAGGCTAAATCATTTCCTGTTAATGACAATTCATATTACACCAGGATTTAGAAACTTTTCACATGATACAGCGGTAAAGCAACCATCACACACTTCTCCTCAGAGCTCGCCAGAACTGAACTGAGCTCCCATACATGCGTGCTTACATCTCAAAGGTAAAACTACCACAGGAGTCCTCTTAAAGGGGACATGACATTTATACACAATGCATATCAAACATTAAGCGACCGTTACAATATCGCAATAATTAACTCCGAAAAAAGCTGCGCAATCACTACCAGACTGCTGTTGTGTTTGCGTTAAGGAGGGACGAGGCTGAATCCAGCATCTTATTTGCAGCTTCTTATTGACCCTATCCAGTCCACCTTAAAAACAGCAAGGCTTCTGTTTTTCAGCGTCGCGCTTAAGAAAACACGACAGTTTTAATCTAAGCAAGGGCTTATTATGCGGTCCTGGTGCCATCTGTGAATGTTAATACACTATGGCAGGCTAATGGCCGCCGACGAGCTCTCTTAGAAATTGTGAATATTTTAAAAAATTGTAATATATTATATATATATTAAATATTATAATATTTTTTCTCCTAGAGAAAGTCTTATTTGTTTTATTCTGGCTAGAATAAAAGCAGTTTTTATTTTTTTAAACACCATTTTAAGGTCAAATTGATTAACAATATATTTTTTCAGTAGTCACAGAACAAACCATCATTATACAATAACTTGCCTAATTACCCTAACCTGCCTAATTAACCTAGTTAAGCCTTTAAATGTCACATTAAGCTGAATAGAAATGTCTTGAAAAATATCATTTCACTGTTGTATAACCGTGCTGAGAATTCAACAGTTTGTAATCGTGCCACACCGTTCCAGGCTCAGTGGAGAAACAACCGTAACTGTACCGAACTGTTCTTAGAATAGTTCAGCACGATAGTGGAAAAGCAGCTAATGATAAAAAACACAGCCGAGGAAACTCTCAGATGCTTTCAGAGAAAGAAACTCAAGCTGTAGAATGGTAAACTCACACCTGAGCAATGCGTGCAACTCCAGTAGACTTGTAAAAGGAGCCTGTCTCAAATAAACAAGGGCAGAGTGCTCCTTTAAGACTCTTTTAATCTGATTTCTTGTTGAGTGAATGTATTTGCTGTGGACACTCGGTCAGTTCTGACGTGTTGTGTTTGCTCTACAGACTCGAGGAGACTTTATATCCGAGCACAGCGCTGCTGAATCTGTGAGCAACGGCCCCAATAACGCAGACGAACCGAGCGAATCAGCCAAAGCCGTGGTCAACGGAGTCTCGTAATCATCTCCCAACTCAACACAACTCATAACCTTGACCATTCGACAACAGTGCTCGTACAAGCTTGCCAAAGATAAGACGTACAGACTTCCACATCCTCGATTGCACTTTTCAGTTCCTCACAACTGATGAATACAACGGTTATGACGAAAACGAAACGAGGAAAAACAAAACGAGTTACACCTTTGTATGTTGTGCCTTCAGAGCGTAGTTTCAACATGATGTTGGCTGGCTATAGAGAAAAACAAAACAAACACACACACAAAACGACAACTTGTCTGAACACACAAAGACTCCCAGACATCCTTAGCTGCTTTTTGTTACGTTTTAATATGCAACCACTTCTTCACGAGGGGTTATGGGGGGGGGATGTTTTGCACTGAATAGTCATTTCTTGACCTTTAGAATAATGTTAGTCTGGAAACTGGTCTGCTAACTCTGTCCATTTTAAATGCTGTATGTAAAGACGATTGAATTGGGGTTTCATCCTTTTGCCTGTTGAGTTTTAACGGCGGCAACCGAGACCGTTTTGCTACAGGAGCCTTTTTTTCTGGTTTATTTATTTTAGGAAGAAGAAAAATGTACAGTATTTAAAATTAACTACGCAGTTGTTTTTAACACTAAACTGCCTGGACGGCTCGGCACGCAGATTGGACTACTGAAAGAGCGGATTGTTTTCCAGATGTTCGGTTGCGTAAACCGCGTTCGATTTAGTCCTTTGGGGTTTTTTTTAAAGATCATTCTGGTTGTTTGATGTGCAATATGTTTTGTATGCAGGTAGTTCATAAAGAAATGAATAAATAAACATTTGATCTTCCAGCCGACCTTTCAAAGTTGGTGTATCCGTTGTGATGGTTTCTTTTTTGGTTTTCTAAAAAAAAAAACCTAATAGACTACACCGAAAAGCCAAGTAAAACACAAAGTCTAAGGTGAAACTTCAACATTATAAGAGCAAAGTAAACTCCAATAATGCTATTTACAACTTTTATATATAAATAATGGGTTCATTTTACAATTATGGTGGTCGATTTTGTGTAATTATGTAAAATATATTATAAAAATTATATATTTAAGTTATTATGGTAGCTTAAAAAACAACAACAAACTTTTATACTACATCAACGTATTATTTTTCCATCTTCTTCTTAGACTAACTTAAAAACGCATTTCCTCCTAGATGGCTCATACAACCAAACTAACTCCAAACTGGTCTGACTCGGGTCGCTATATCTTTTTGCTATATCTTTTGCTATAAATGATCCGACTTACGGTTTTCCCAAAAATGACCTTGAAAAGCCCCATTGACTTAACATTGCACCAAACTTCATGACCGCATAACTTTGCCCCAGACTGTCATACAGACTTAAGTTTGGGCTCATTTAACTCAGACTACCAATTTGCCAATCACTGATGACCTTTCAACTTACTAGCCACACCCTAGCAACTGTCCTATAGACCTTTATTATAAAAAAAAAAAACTGCCATTGTCTTTACATTGGACATACAACAAACAGAACCATACTAGCAACATACCAATCCATACTAGAAACATACTAACAAACATACTAGCAACATACCAATCCATACTAGAAACATACTAACAAACATACTAGCAACATACCAATCCATACTAGAAACATACAAACATACTAGCAACATACCAATCCATACTAGAAACATACTAACAAACATTTATGTATGCAACATGCTAATTCATAGTAGAACCATGTTAACAGCATGCTATAAACATACTAGCAGCATGCTAATTCATACTAGATTACCTTCCGATAACACTTTTTTTTTGTTTGTTTACACTGTAATAAACCGAAATGGAGTGAATCTGATTTGGGCCACAAACAGTTGCAGGAAAATTTAATAGTTTCCATAGGAACAAAAAAAAAAGATCAGACCTTGATAGATTTCTTTTCTGATTACAATTGATTGCTACTGTTCACACTGTAATAAACCAAAATGGAGTGAATCTGATTTGGGCAACGCACAGCTGCAGTGAAGCTCATTGGTTTACATATAAAACAGACCAGACACCAATGGATCTACATTTGATTTTTGCTGTTCACACTGTATTAAGCCAAAATGGAGTGAATCTGGTTTGGGTCATGCTCAGCTGCAGGAAAGCTCATTGGTTTTTAAATCAAAAACAGATCCGAACCCAATGGATTTAGATTCAGATTACATTTGATTTTTGCTGTTCACACTGTAATTAACCAAAATAGAGTTAAACTGATTTGGGCCATAGCCACACTCTGCTGCTGTAAAGCTCATTGCTTTGCCTATGAAAAACATCAGACCCCAATGGATTTACATTCAATTTTTGCTATTCACACTTTAAGGAACTAAAACGGAGTGAATGCGATTTGGGCCATGCTCAGCTGCAGAGTGCAGTGAAGCTCATTGGTTTTCATATCAAACAGACCAGACACTAATGGATCTATATTCAAAATACATTTGATTTTTGCTGTTCACACTATATTAGGCCAAAATGGAGTGAATCTGGTTTGGGCAATGCTCAGCTGCAGTGAAGCTCATTGGTTTTCATATCAAACAGACCAGACACTAATGGATCTATATTGAGAGTACATTTGATTTTTGCTGTTCACACTGCATTAAGCCAAAATGGAGTGAATCTGGTTTGGGCAATGCTCAGCCGCAGTGAAGCTCATTGGTTTTTTTCATATGAAAAAAGATCAGACCCTAATAGTTTTACATTCAGATTACATTAGATTCTTACTGTGCAAACTTGTAATAAACCAAAATGGAGTGAATCTGGATTGTGTCACGCTCAGTCGCGTTAAACTTCATTGGTTTTCATATGAAAAAATAGATGCTGATTTTCACTGTTGACACCGTAATAATCTGAAATGGAGTGCGTCTGATTTGGGCACCGCTCAGTTTGCTCATTTTTAAATAAAAAGAGATCAGATCTAGATGACAACATGGTGTTTAATAATCGCAAAATAAATCGACTGCATTCATTCACACATCTGAAGAAGATTTATTTCTTAGCTTGTCCGTCAAGTAAATCCTTCGCCTCGTTGATTTTCGCTGCCAGATATGGGGATCCACCTGTCAATAAAACACGACACTGAGCACTTTATAGGCTGAATGATTTCTTATGTTGCATTAAGCCAGGAGAAGGACTGACCTCGGTCAGGATGGTTTAAAATCATCAGCTTTCTGTGAGCCTCTCTGATCTTTGTTTTGTTAGCGGTGGGGCTAATGGAAAAACACAAGAGAGGGAAATGCACACGGGTCAAACTTGCTTTCTCCTTTCAAAATCATTCGTATGATGGCTCAGAAATATAAATAAACCACTGTTATAAAAAGGCAATACTTAGGTTATTAGTATTCCTGTTTTAATTTAGTCTACTAGGCTTGGGCGATTGGCAAATTTTGATACCGTCAAAACTATCCTCCCTATTTTACCCCGGTATCTGGTATTACGGTGCATAATAAAAACAATGATGACGTAAGGCTCAGACGGCCTCACCAAACTGTTGGCTTGTGCCTAAACCATTCAGAAACTGAATACCGTATATGCTACCTTAGGTTTGCGGTCATCTGTTTGTCTTGTTCGAATTAGAGATCTGTGCAGGAAGCTCTCTCTCATTCACACACACACAGAAAGAGAGACTGCACCAAGCGATGCATAGCACCACGCTCTCTCTCTCTCTCTCTCTCTCTCTCTCTCTCTCATTAACACACACCCTCACAGCATCCACGCAGCCCACTCCCTTTCAAATTACACCAGAGTTACCGACCGCTCCCGCAATTTATTCGGAAATTTATTCCCGCACCACAAGAAATCTGGTCGTGAACGAACTATGATAAGAAATGTTTTGAAAAAATCTGCTCTGCGCTAAACAGAAAACGGGGAAAAAAATAAACAAGCCGTCTAATTATTCAGGGGGGCTAATAAATCTGACTTCACCTGTATACACCAAACATCTTTAAGAAGAATAGAACAATATATACATTTAAATTCAAACAAGTTATTGCAAACAAAACATGCAAACTACAACATTTCAACTCATTTTTTAAAATGTCGATTTTTTTTTCCTGTTTATTAAAATGTAACTTATTTTCTCTCAACATATTAATTTGGGTGTACTCATTTTTGGACTGAGATCTTCAGTTTATTTGTTGTTAGATTAGATCCAAATTCTGCTTTGGTACTGAATAATCTAATGTATACGCACAAACATATCATTATAAAGCATTCTGTTGAAATAATCATGTAAAATATTGATCTGTGAGGGGTGTACATTGCTATACACTATATGTAGTATATGAATGACTAAGTTTATTAAAGAAAATATATTAACCAGTTAAACTCTGTGACGTCATCGACTTTCGCTTTAAGATTTAAAGGGCTCGCATTGCACCAGACCCCTGTAAGTGGTTTCGTTTGAAAGTGTAGAATCTATATTTTATGCACATATGCATCACTTTGGTTTTTATTCTTCTGTACAAAAGTTATTTACACTTAAATACACAGTATTTTGGATACCCGAGCTGGGTATTGAACATTGGTTCATTTTCATATTTTTCATATGACACATGTACAAGTTATAGCTCAAATGAAAGCTCCTGCTGGTGCTCATATGGTTCTAGCGTTCTGTTTACTGAATTATATTCACATATAAAACAGTTGCTGAATGAATCCATTTATGAATACATTTATGATCAATAAGCAGCCCCAGATAGCACAGACAGCTCATCTCTTACCTTATGCTGTGCGCTTCAGGGCCATTCTCCTCTGTTTTTGAGCTGATGTGCATAAGTAATCCTTTTATATGTCTGACGTGCTCCAAACACAGTGAATTATGTTTGATCAAACAAAATAATAGTGAAATATGAACACAATGATCGCTCCCTGTGGCTTGTACAGCACCTCTCATCAGTTGGAACACAATAACTTCTGCATAGATTATGGTGGAGACATTTTTCTGTTTTCTTATGATTACAGACATGTGCAGGAACCACCAACATTAATTACAGCACGCTAGAGCACACACAACCTGAAAGGTACACTTTCACATTTGAGTTTATTAAAAAAAAAAAAAAAAAAAAAGTGCCTCTTTTTTAGGTGTTTATTATAACACAGACAACATATACAGGTATTTTAAACACTTTCAATAGTGTTTTATGAAAATTCAAAGGGTTTTCTTTAAAATGAGGCCAAATTTTTGCATTTACACCTCTGCATGTGGATTTGGGAAGCTTTTAAATTTGGGTAGGCAAAATCCAGGCGGAAATCCCAAAATAACAGCAGAGTTTAACTGGTTAAGAAAGCACTGACTGAAATAAAGAAGTAGGCTACATTTCTTCAAGAATTACTTTAAAGCTGCAAACTGAGCTGAGCAGCAGCCTCACTTTAATACAGGGTGCGGGAAACACACTTGTTAAAGGGAGAGCAGCATTCTGCAGCGGTTTCGATATTAAATTAAAAATCCCGCTGCTTGTGTGTGCACGGCTCTTGCCATTATTCTTAAACTTAATGTGCTGAAGTTAAGCACATTTTGTATGTTACAGTGAGCCTGCAATGCATTAAAACTTTTTCGTGCAAGCAACAATTGAATTAAGTATTTAATTTAACGTTATTAGACCTAGATTAAAGTGTATTTTTTTAATTGAGACGATCTGCAATTTCCTGTCAGCTTCTTTCTTGCTTTGTTGCAAGCTGTAGTTATCTAGATTATTTAACTAAACTCAGATTAGTTAGATCAAATCATCTGTAACTTGCTGTTATGAAACTAATTTAAGCGTGGATGTTTAGTTCGGCTCACTGAAGTCAAGCTTTTGTTTTTAATCCCCGCTTTTCTTAACCACTTTTGAGCCCCCAGGACAGAGTTTGGATACCCCCGGGTTAAACAATTAATTATATACATGCTATATACATCCTTAGTATCAATGAAAGCATATTTTACCTGACGCCGAGAATAAGAGACGCTTCTCTCCTGTTCATCTTAGGGTCAAATCCGCCTCTGTAGTATCCGCTACCGAATGCCTGTCGCACAAAACACAAGCAAAACAAAGTTATTAGCGAGTTTACAGAGGCCAACTCTGCATTGCACGATCTGAAAATATAACTTGCAGATTTGGACGCTTCCAGAGCTTGTTTCACTTGCGGCTCCATATGTTTCATGGCTCGCACCGCATAGCGACCTGCAAAAAACAGACGATTAGAAAACAATCGGCTGTAATTAAGCAACAGACGGATGTTTGTGTGATATTTCGCTGGAATCGTACCTGCGAACCCTGCTGCCGCCAAGGTAAGACCCACGGCCACCATAGTACTGGCCTGAAACACATTAAACAATCACCTCTGATTGAGCAATTTGCATTAATTGAGCTAATTTGCATTATTCTGAGCAAACCACACATCACACACGCCAATCATAAAACAATCCTTATATTATTCCTCAGCGCGGCATTGATTGTGTGATGTATTAAATTGTATCTCACAAATATACAGTGTTTTCCAATCAGCAGTGGTTTTTGCATGTAGTGAAGAACACCTTTAATAAACATCTCCAAAATTACTACATGATATCTTAGCATCTTTCATTTGAAATCAAATTTAGCATTTTTAAAAAATATATTATTTAATAATTTAAGTCACTTTTAATTTTAAATGACATTTTTCTCAAAAATACTTATATAATTATATATAGCTGCAGTAAAGGACATTGATTTTCATATGGAAACAAAAAAGATCAGGCCCAAATGGATTTACATTCAGATTACTAACGATTTTTTACTGTGCACACTGTAATAAACCAAAATGGAGTGAATTTGGTTTGGACCATGCTCAGCTGCAGTAAAACTCATTGATTTTTATATGAAAAAATGATCAGACCCAAATGGATTTGCATTCAGATTACAATACAAGTTTTGCAGTTCACACTGAAATAAATCAAATTGGAGTGAATCTGATTTGGGCCACGGTCAGCCGCAGCAAAGCTCATTGGTATTCATATGTACAACAGATCAGACACCAATTGATCTACATTCAGATTACATTAGATTTTTGCTGTTTACACTTGTAATAAGCCAAATTGGAGTGAATCTGATTTGGGCCACTGTCAGCCGCAGCAAAGCTCATTGGTATTCATTATAAAACAGATCAGACACCAATTGATCTACATTCTGATTACATTAGATTTTTGCTGTTCACACTTGTAATAAGCCAAATTGGAGTGAATCTGATTTGGGCCACAGTCAGCCGCAGCAAAGCTCATTGGTATTCATATGACAAACAGATCAGACAACAATTGATCTACACTCGGATTACATTAGATTTTTGCTGTTCACACTGAAATAAATCAAATTGGAGTGAATCTGATTTAGGTCATGGTCAATCACAGCAAAGCTCTTTGGTATTCATATGTAAAACAGATCAGACACCAATTGATCTAGACTCGGATTACATTAGATTTTTGCTGTTCACATTGAAATAAATCAAATTGGAGTGAATCTGATTTGAGCCACGGTCAGTTGCAGCAAAGCTCATTGGCGTTCATTTGAAAAACAGATCAGACAACAATTGATCTACATTCAGATTACATTAGATTTTAGCTGTTCACACTTGTAATAAGCCAAAATGGAGTGAATCTGATTTGGGCCACGGTCAGACGTAGCAAAGCTCATTGGTATTCATTTAAAAAACAGATCAGACACCAATTGATCTACATTCAGATTACATTAGATTTTTGCTGTTCACATTGAAATAAATCAAATTGGAGTAAATCTGATTTGAGCCACGGTCAGTTGCAGCAAAGCTCATTGGCGTTCATTTGAAAAACAGATCAGACAACAATTGATCTACATTCAGATTACATTAGATTTTTGCTGTTCACACTTGTAATAAGCCAAAATTGAGTGTATCTGATTTGGGCCACGCTTAGCTGCCATAAAAGTCATTCGTTTTCATACGAACAATGATCAGACCCCAACTTTATTTACATTCAGAGCACATTTGACTTTTTGCTGTTCACACTGTAATAAACCAAAGAGGAGTGAATCTGATTTAGGCCAGGCTCAGCAGCAGTAAAGCTCATTGTTCTGCAAATGAAATAAATATCAGATCCCAATGGATTTACATTCAGTTTACATTCGATACCTATTATATATAGTAATAAAAATGTATGTTTTGCATGATAATAAACCAAAATGAAGTGAAACTGGTTTGGGTCATATCTAAAAGTGATTACACGATATCCTAGTATCTTTAATGTTAAAAATTTTGATATAATTTTAAACTTTATTATATATTATTTAAAGCTATTTTTAATCTTTACGTGATTTTTTTTGGATAAATTAATTTAAATAATTCATACATTTATAATTTTGTATGTTAATTTGGATTGTAGTGCCAGCATGGTGGCGCAGTGTGTAGCACAATCGCCTTACAGCAAGAAGGTTGCCGATTCTAGCCTCGGAAGGGTCAGTTGGCATTTCTGTGTGGAGTTTGCATGTTCTCCCACGTGTTGGCGTGGGTTTCCCCCACAGCCCAAAGACATACATTCATACTGTATTTCTCGAAAGTATTTTAACTTTAGCTTTTATGATATTGAAATTTAGACTATGTTGGAAATTTCCAGAATTTTGACAGTCATAATTTTGTCTTTTTATCTCTCAAATTCATTTCTCACCAAACTTTTCATCTCATAGTTTAGAGTATACGTTTATTTAAAACACGTCTCAAACTTACAATGTATTATGCTATAATTTACACACTTTTTGCTTATAATTATGATTCAATGTTTCATAATTGTTACATTTTATTTTATATAACTCACAATTTTGACTTTTTACTTTTTGACTTTTTAATTTTTATCTCATTAATATCAGTCCGTCACAAACTTTGTGACATAATTGAAACTTTATATTTTAATATTTCATTTTGTTTAAGAAAATATTAAAATTCCAGCTTTTGGTTATTATTATACAGATTATTATACTGTATATATCGATATTGTCCAGGTTGTTTCACACCCACAGCCCTGACTATTATTGCATAATTGTGTCATAATAATAATAATAAATAAATAAATCACAAATTTACAGTATAAAATTATATTTTTCAAAGTTTTTTAACAATGAATGTACCCACATTAAATAAACATATACACTCGATGCAATTATTGAAATACATACACATATTTTACCTCAGAAATCTCTAAAGATTAATTATTAGGTCACTATTAGTTAGCGAAGTGCTAATTCTGCCTCTCAGTTTCTTTGAAACTAACGATAAAACTCACCGAAATCGCGTTAAAATGAGTTGAAATGATGGAGAAGCACTCACCATGTTTTCCTGCTAAGATCTTGCGTTGTAATAGTCTATAATCATAACCTGAATCATAACTGACTGCTAAATGTCAAGCTCATGTGTTGTTGTTGTGGAGGCTTCTGAACTTCAAACAGCGACCTGCTGTAAACCGAGCCAGCACGTCGCAAAACCCAACGTCTTGTCGTAAGTCAAAACGGGTTTTTGCTAGAAGGGATACAGCTGCGGCCGGAAATTACGGAGGATTGTTTACAATACTTATTAAATGGTCCATTAGTTGTATTTTATAAACATCCCCCCCAACACGAGTCAGGCGAGACGGTCAGAGAGCAAATCCTTTGGTCAGAGCTCATTGGTGCAGAAATATGAAGGTAACCATAGTAACAATATCTGAAACGGTGGTTGTTTATTAATAAGTATTAAGAAGTTGGTCCTCAGCTGTGTTTTCAAAAGTGTTTTTGTATAAAAGGTCAAACTGACGGTAGGCTGTTGCTGGTTTATTTATAACATAAATATGTTTTGAGAAAATATATACACTCACCGGCCACTTTATTAGGTACACCTGTCCAACTGCTGGTCAACGCAAATTTCAGCAAATCAGCCAATCACGTGGCAGCAACTCAGTGTATTTAGGCATATAGACATGGTCAAGACAATCTGCGCACAACCATCTCTAGGGTTTACAGAGAATAGTCAGAAAAAAGAGAAAATATCCAGTGAGCGAACGTCGAAACTTGAGGTGGAACAGGAAACTGAGGCTACAATTCACACAGGCTCACCAAAACTGGACAATAGAAGATTGGAGAAGCGTTGCCTGCTCTGATGAGTCTCCATTTCTGCTGACACATTCAGATGGTCGGGTCAGAATTTGGCATCAACAACAGGAAAACATATCTGTCCTGCCTTGTATCAGCGGTTCAGGCTGGTGGTGGTGGTGTAATGGTGTGGGGGAGATTCTTTTGGCACACTTTGGGTCCATTAGTACCAATTGAGCATGGTGTCAATGCTGACCATATCCATCTCTTTATGACCACAGTGTACTTCCAGCAGGATAACGCACCATGTCATAAAGCTCAATCATCTCAGACTGGTTTCTTGAACATGACAATGAGTTCACTGTACTCAAATGACCTCCACAGTCACCAGAGCTCAATCCAATAGAGCACCTTTGGGATGTGTTGGAACGGGAGATTCACATCATGGATGTGCAGCCGACAAATCTGCAGCAACTGTGTGATGCTATCATGTCAATATGAAGCAAAATCTCTGAGGAATATTTCCAGTAGCTTGTTGAATCTCTGCCACGAAGGATTGGGGCAGTTCTGAAGGCAAAAGGGGGTCCAACCTGGTACTAGTAAGGTGTACCTAATAAAGTGGCCGGTGAGTGAATATTTAACTAGTCTAATTTCTGAAATACATACAATAAATATGTATCGTTATCTGTAAGAAAAGCAAACATAAGAACATTTGATACGTCTGTAGTGAGGATATTTAAGCATACGCGGCTTTTATATTTGTGAAAATAAAAGCAGTTTATCCCTCTATTTGGGCTAACGTTAGCTTCAGTTTTCTTTATGCACTTAAAAAGTTAGAAATATGACATAACATTTATTAGTTTTTTAAATTTCATGTTTTTTTTTTAACATCATGGTGTTTTAAATGGAGGTTCTTATTACTAAGGGAACCAGGGGCAGTGCTAGAGCCCATTTACTGGGGCACGTACCCCACTGGAAATGACCAGAGCTCCAGTAAATGCTTTGAGTTACGGTTTACTTTATATGTGAGTGTATACCTATAATGTAAAGCAGAGGTTCTCAAACTGTGGTATGAGTACCACTAGTGGTACGCAGGCTTAATTCTAGTGGCACGGGGAGGGGAAAGATGAATACAGTTTTAATCATTTGATGCATACGATAACACCAGTGTGATCAGCATTGGCTGTTCTCTAAAGCCTACGATCAAAGCGATGTGCTTAGAATGTTTACTTTAGTGCATCGAGTCATCAGCTGCAAAAAATCAATCCAAATGACGCAGAACTAGAGAAAAAGGTGCGTGGTGCTTGCAGATACGTGCTAGAGCAGTGGTCCCCAACCCTTGGGCCACAGACCGGCACGGGTCTATGGATCGAGTGGTACCAGGCTGCGCAAAATAATCATTTATTTTGCAAAATCTTTAATTTTGAAAAATGACCGTATTCTTTTGTTACATCTTGATCAACTGAGCATCAAAATTGAACCCACAGGCTAGTAAAATAAGATGCGCTCGCGTATTCCAGGCGTACTCAGTTGAAAACATCTTAACTTTTCAGAATGCTCCACCTCGAGTCACGGGACACGAACTGACTGATCAGCTTCATATTTTGTATGGAATATTAGGGGTGTCAAAATTGATTGTTTCTTTGGTGCACCGTGATGCAGACGCGGACAATTCGGTTTCGGTTCAGTAATAATCATAACCGGTTATTATGTACTGACGTCATATATCTCATATGCGCTCTGTCGAGAGGGAGGCGAGCACGAGTATTTACAACACTCCAGGCGCCAACTACTTAAAAATGCAGAAACTGTGCACAATTTCACTGAGTGTGTGTGTTTTCTGGACAGTCTTTCACTGATACTTACAGCAGAAGCCCCTATTTCTCTGCGATTGAGGGAATGAAAGTAAACTCCATTTTTCTCTCTCTCTTTCTTTCTGTCTCTCTCACTGTGGCCCGTTTCACCTGCTGCCGTGACTTTTCCTCCCCTTTCTTTTCCTCCTGGCTGTTACAGCGATACTTCTGGATATAGGTCTGCATTCCCGCGGTTGTACCTGTGCATTGTCGTGGGACCCGAGCAGATTTCATACGGCGTGGGAATTAATTTCCGAATAAAGCGCGGGAGCGGTCGGTAACTGGTGTAATTTGAACAGAAGTGGGTGGTTTCACAATATCGCTCCCTAGCGAGCAAGCAGGCGCGCGTGCATGTGTTTGTTTATTTGTTTAGTGCTGTCTGTTTGTGTGTGTGTGTTTATACAGACAGCTTGCTATTAGTTATAAGTAATAATAACTAATAACTAATAGTAGTTATAAGTAATAAGTAATAATTACTTAGCTAAAAGTTATAAGTAATAATTCTCCTTAAAATTCATACTTTTATTTCATAATCACGATTCACAGTTGGAACTTTTTATTATAATTATGACTTTTTATCTCATGATTTTTTTTATCACACACACAGTAATTAACTATGTTTTGTGTCATAACTATGGCTCTTTATCTCATATTATTTTGTTGTTTTATCTAGCATGCCATCTTTCTGACTTTTCATGACTGACTCACAAGTTAGCCTTTGTGTTAAATATTTTGACTTTTTAAAAGATTTTGAACGATTATCTCATAGTTTAGTTGTTTTATCTCGTATATCTAGGCTGCGAAAGGAAATTCATACTAAACTAAATTCACAGCCGCATTAAAGATCGAAATATTTCTTCCTAAAATTAATAACTTTATCTCATATTCATGATTCACAGTTCGAACTTTTTATTATAATTATAACTTTTTATCTCAGGAATTTGTACTTTTTAACCACACACACTGTAGTTAACTAAGCTTCGTGTCATAACTATGATTCTTTATCTCATAATCATGAGACATTATATTGTTGCTTTATTTTAGCGTGCCATCTGTCTGACTTTTAACGATTGACTCACAACTCAGCCTTTATGTTAATTGTTTTGACTTTTGAAGAAAATTATCACTTTTATCCCATAATTTAGACGTTTTTAACTCGTATATTTAGGCTGTGACAGATAATTGATACTAAACTAAACTGACTGCCACATTAAAGATCAAGTCATTTCTACTTAAAATGAATTCTTTTATCTCATAATCACTTCGTGTCAAAAGTTTAGTGTCATAGCTATGATTCTTTATCTCATAATCATGAGATATTATATTGTTGCTTTATTTTAGCATGCCATCTGTCTGACTTTTCACAATTGACTCACAACTCAGCCTTTATGTTAATAGTTTTGACTTTTGAAGAAAGTTTGCACTTTTATCTCATAATTTAGATGTTTTATCTCATATATCTAGGCTGTGACAGATAATTGATACTAAACTAAACTGACTGCCACATTAAAGATCAAGTCATTTCTACTTAAAATGAATTCTTTTATCTCATAATCACTTCGTGTCAAGTTTAGTGTCATAACTATGATTCTTTATCTCATAATCATGAGACATTATATTGTTGCTTTATTTTAGCATGCCATCTGTCTGACTTTTCACAATTGACTCACAACTCAGCCTTTATGTTAATTGTTTTGACTTTTCAAGAAAGTTTGCACTTTTATCTCATAATTTAGATGTTTTATCTCATATATCTAGGCTGTGACAGATAATTGATACTAAACTAAACTGACTGCCACATTAAAGATCAAGTCATTTCTACTTAAAATGAATTCTTTTATCTCATAATCACTTCGTGTCAAGTTTAGTGTCATAACTATGATTCTTTATCTCATAATCATGAGACATTATATTGTTGCTTTATTTTAGCATGCCATCTGTCTGACTTTTCACAATTGACTCACAACTCAGCCTTTATGTTAATTGTTTTGACTTTTCAAGAAAGTTTGCACTTTTATCTCATAATTTAGATGTTTTATCTCATATATCTAGGCTGTGACAGATAATTGATACTAAACTAAACTGACTGCCACATTAAAGATCAAGTCATTTCTACTTAAAATGAATTCTTTTATCTCATAATCACTTCGTGTCACAAGCTTCGTGTCATAACTATGATTCTTTATCTCATAATCATGAGACATTATATTGTTGCTTTATTTTAGCATGCCATCTGTCTGACTTTTAACGATTGACTCACAACTCAGACTTTATGTCAACTTTTGAAGAAAGTTTGCACTTTTATCTCATAATTTAGACGTTTTATCTCATATATCTAGGCTGTGACAGATAATTGATACTAAACTAAACTGACTGCCACATTAAAGATCAAGTCATTTCTACTTAAAATGAATTCTTTTATCTCATAATCACTTCGTGTCACAAGCTTCGTGTCATAACTATGATTCTTTATCTCATAACTATGAGATATTATATTGTTGCTTTATTTTAGCATGCCATCTGTCTGACTTTTAACGATTGACTCACAACTCAGACTTTATGTCAACTTTTGAAGAAAGTTTGCACTTTTATCTCATAATTTAGACGTTTTATCTCATATATCTAGGCTGTGACAGATAATTGATACTAAACTAAACTGACTGCCACATTAAAGATCAAGTCATTTCTACTTAAAATGAATTCTTTTATCTCATAATCACTTCGTGTCAAAAGTTTAGTGTCATAACTATGATTCTTTATCTCATAATCATGAGACATTATATTGTTGCTTTATTTTAGCGTGCCATCTGTCTGACTTTTCACAATTGACTCACAACTCAGCCTTTATGTTAATTGTTTTGACTTTTCAAGAAAGTTTGCACTTTTATCTCATAATTTAGATGTTTTATCTCATATATCTAGGCTGTGAGAGATAATTGATACTAAACTAAACTGACTGCCACATTAAAGATCAAGTCATTTCTACTTAAAATGAATTCTTTTATCTCATAATCACTTCGTGTCAAGTTTAGTGTCATAACTATGATTCTTTATCTCATAATCATGAGACATTATATTGTTGCTTTATTTTAGCATGCCATCTGTCTGACTTTTCACAATTGACTCACAACTCAGCCTTTATGTTAATTGTTTTGACTTTTCAAGAAAGTTTGCACTTTTATCTCATAATTTAGATGTTTTATCTCATATATCTAGGCTGTGACAGATAATTGATACTAAACTAAACTGACTGCCACATTAAAGATCAAGTCATTTCTACTTAAAATGAATTCTTTTATCTCATAATCACTTCGTGTCACAAGCTTCGTGTCATAACTATGATTCTTTATCTCATAACTATGAGATATTATATTGTTGCTTTATTTTAGCATGCCATCTGTCTGACTTTTAACGATTGACTCACAACTCAGACTTTATGTCAACTTTTGAAGAAAGTTTGCACTTTTATCTCATAATTTAGACGTTTTATCTCATATATCTAGGCTGTGACAGATAATTGATACTAAACTAAACTGACTGCCACATTAAAGATCAAGTCATTTCTACTTAAAATGAATTCTTTTATCTCATAATCACTTCGTGTCACAAGCTTCGTGTCATAACTATGATTCTTTATCTCATAACTATGAGATATTATATTGTTGCTTTATTTTAGCATGCCATCTGTCTGACTTTTAACGATTGACTCACAACTCAGACTTTATGTCAACTTTTGAAGAAAGTTTGCACTTTTATCTCATAATTTAGATGTTTTATCTCATATATCTAGGCTGTGAGAGATAATTGATACTAAACTAAACTGACTGCCACATTAAAGATCAAGTCATTTCTACTTAAAATGAATTCTTTTATCTCATAATCACTTCGTGTCAAAAGTTTAGTGTCATAACTATGATTCTTTATCTCATAATCATGAGACATTATATTGTTGCTTTATTTTAGCGTGCCATCTGTCTGACTTTTCACAATTGACTCACAACTCAGCCTTTATGTTAATTGTTTTGACTTTTCAAGAAAGTTTGCACTTTTATCTCATAATTTAGATGTTTTATCTCATATATCTAGGCTGTGACAGATAATTGATACTAAACTAAACTGACTGCCACATTAAAGATCAAGTCATTTCTACTTAAAATGAATTCTTTTATCTCATAATCACTTCGTGTCATAAGCTTCGTGTCATAAATATGATTCTTTATCTCATAACTATTGTTGCTTTATTTTAGCATGCCATCTGTCTGACTTTTAACGATTGACTCACAACTCAGCCTTTATGTCAACTTTTGAAGAAAGTTTGCACTTTTATCTCATAATTTAGACGTTTTTATCTCATACATCTAGGCTCAGATAACTCATAATAGCTAAATTCACAGATCGAATCATTTCTTCTTAAAATCCTCCAGTTTTTTTTTTTTCTCAGGAAACTGGAGGCAGAAACACAGGCTTCTTCCCACTGGGCTGGATTTCAGTCCAGCAGCACAATGAGCGGTTGAAGCTCCTAATTATTACCCCCCCTCCGCCCCAACACCCCCATATTTGCATAATTACAGCTTTTTTTCACAGCCAAAGGACAGTATAGAAATTGTAAATTGTAGTGTCCGGGGCCGCAGTCACTGAAAGTCACATCTAATGACAAACGCGAGCTCCTGGCGCGCCGGCTGGAGCTTCAATAGCATCGACAAAGCCAAAAAAAGAAGAGTTTTGCCCCCAAATCATATGGAATTACATGTGCTGCATCTCCACACACACAAAAAGCCCACAGGAAGCAGCCGTTTTTCTGTTGGTTTTTATTAAACCAAGCGAGCAATTTAATTCTTTTGTTCGGGAAGAGTTCTACTTCATTGATTAACAAAAGCAGGGGATATAATTTTTTTTTTCCTCCTTCTTTTTCAAAAGCCTGAAATGTCAAGCCTTTTAAAGCAGATTATTCTGCCTGTGTGCGGCGAACGCAGCCCCGACTAACCTTTTGTCTACAATTAAATATGCCAGGCATAAATATAAAAGAAAAATCAGAGATGGGGAAGATTGACTCAGGAGAGATTGTGGAGGTAGATCCACGCGCGCTGATAGTGCAAACAGCTCCTAATTAAATATGCCAGCGAGTCTCAAAAGCGCTTTTCTGCCGCAGAGAGAGAGAAGCTGCTGAGACGGAGAGGAGAAAAGTATCGGCTCATCTCTCCGGCCGCAGCCTTCCTCTGGGCATCACAAGGTATTTGGGGATATCTCTCACTCTCTCTCTCTCTTTCTCGTCTTTCTTTGTTGTTTGTTTGTTTGGATAATTATTTGCTTTAATATCAAAAGGCTATCCCTGCCGGGAGCCTGCGTGCTGAATGAAAACTTCTGCTGCTTGTTTTGTTTCTGTTTGTTTGAGATGCGCTCTTTGATAATTGCGTTTGACTTCAGGGATGCGAGCTGGAAGTGCAGCATATTCGGAAATATTAACAAGCATTGTTGAATGTGTATTGAACTAAAGAACTAAAACTTTGATCTGTGTGAATATGTTTGTTTTATTTCAATTAAGCTTGTGAAGTTGTGTATATTACATTTGACACGTGCACACAAAAAATATTTAATGTTTTTTTTTAAGATAAGTGCTTGTAAATAATTTATATAGGCTGAATTTAAACAAACTAAGTAAGTTTGCGCTACTTAATTTCATTAGTTTGTTTAAATGCAGCCCTCTTACCTTTAAAAATGTGAGTAAATCCAATTAATTATTTTATTTTCTGTGATCTGGGCACTAGACGAAAAAAAAGTGTGATAAAAGAGGTAAAAACTAATATTTAAATATGTTTTTGTTTGATTTAAGTATGTTTTTGACATATATCTAAATAGATGGGCATGTTATTACATGTGTGACAGTGTGCTTCATATCATTAAGCCATGTCATTGAATATTATGCATGACATGACATTTGACAGGGCACTGAAAGAAAAGAAGCTGGGTCAAAATCTAATATTTAAATATGCTTTTGACATATTTAAGTAGCTGGAAATGTGTCTACATGTATATTGACAGTGTGTTTTATGTCATTTAAGCCTGTATATTAGTAAATGTCATGTCATTTAATCCGATATTATATTATATAGTGGGAAAAAGGGGTCGAAATCGAATACTTAAGTATGTTTTTTTACTTATTTAAATTGATGGAAATGTGTTTACATTTATGAGACAGTGTGTTTCATGTAATTTAAGCCTAAAAAATAGTATAGTTCATGTCATTTAAGCTAATAAAATTGTATGTTTCAAGTTGTTTAAGCCTATATATATAATGTATGACATGACATTTGACATATATGGGAACCAAAAGTTAAAAGGAAGTTGAAATCTTATATTAAATAGGTTTTTGACATATAAATAGATGGAAATGTGTTTACATATATGTAACAGTGTGTTTAATGTAACTTAAGCCTATATAATATTATTCATGACATGACATTTGACACATGCATGGGCACTAGAAGGAAAAAAGTGTGAAAAGAGGTTGAAATCTAATACTGAAGTATGTTTTTCACATATTTAAATAGATAGAAAAAAAGTGTTCACATGTATGAGACAGAGTGTTTAATGTCATTTAAGCCTATTAAATAGTATATTTTATTTAATCCGATATAATATTATGCATGACATTTGACGTATATGGGCACTGGAAGAAAAGAAGGGGTCAAAATCTAATATTTAAATATGCTTTTGACATATTTAAGTAGCTGGAAATGTGTCTACGTGTATATTGACAGTGTGTTTTATGTCATTTAAGCCTGTATATTAGTATATGTCATGTCATTTAATCCGATATTATATTATATAGTGTGAAAAAAGGGTCGAAATCTAATACTTAAGTATGTTTTTTTACTTATTTAAATTGATGGAAATGTGTTTACATTTATGAGACAGTGTGTTTCATGTAATTTAAGGCTAAAAAAAATTGTATATTTCATGTCATTTAAGCTAATAAAATTTTATATTTCAAGTTGTTTAAGCCTATATATATAATGTATGACATGACATTTGACATATATGGGAACTAAAAGTTAAAAGGGAGTTGAAATCTTAAATTAAATAGTTTTTTGACATATAAATAGATGGAAATGTGTTTTCATATATGTAACAGTGTGTTTAATGTAACTTAAGCCTATATAATATTATTCATGACATGACATTTGACACATGCATGGGCACTAGAAGGAAAAAAGTGTGAAAAGGGGTTGAAATTTAATACTGAAGATGTTTTTCACATATTTAAATAGATAGAAAAAAGTGTTCACATGTATGAGACAGAGTGTTTTATTTTAACCTAATAAATAGTATATTTTATTTAATCCGATATAATATTATGCATGACATTTGACACGTATATGGGCACTGGAAGAAAAGAAGGGGTCAAAATCTAATATTTAAATATGCTTTTGACAGATTTAAGTAGCTGGAAATGTGTTTACATGTGTGGGACAGTGTGTTTCATGTCATTTAAGCCTGTATAGTTAGTATTATGCATGACATTTGACACGTGCATGGGCACTAGAAGAAAAAAAGGGGTCAAAATCTAATATTTAAATATGTTTTTGACAGATTTAAATAGATAGAAATGTGTGGGACAGTGTGTTTAATGTAATTTAGGCCTATATAATAGTATAGTTCATGTAATTTAAGCCTATATAATATTATTTATGACATGACGTTTTACTCTTGTCTGGGCACTATAAGTAAAAAGGAGGTAAATCTAATATTTAAGTATGTTTTTGACATATTTAAATAGATTGAAATGTGTTTTACATCTATGGGAGAGTGTGTTTCATGTAATTTAAGCCTGTAAAATATTAATATTAAGCCTATATTATATAATGCATGACATTACATGACATTTGACACTGGGCACTAGAAGAAAAAAAGGGTCAAAATCTAATATTGAAATTTGTTTTTTACATATTTAAATATATGGAAATGTGTTTACTTGTATGTGCCAGTGTGCTTATTGTCATTTAAGCCTTTATAATTGTATATTACATCCTATTTAATCCTATATATATTATATATGACTTGACATTTGACATGTGTATGGGCACTAGAAGAAAAAAAAGTGTAAAAGTGGTCAAAATCTAATATTTAAATGTGTTTTTGACAGATTTAAATAGATGGAAATGTGTTTACATGTATTGGGACAGTGTGTTTATTGTCATTTAAGCCTATATAATATTAATATTAAGCCTATATAACATAATGCATGACATGACATGACATTTGACACATGAATGGGCACTAGAAAACCCCAAAATTGTCAAGATCTAACATTTAAATATGTTTTTGACAGATTTAAATAGATGGAAATATGTTTACTTGTATATGGGACAGTGTGTTTTATGTCATTTAGCCTATATAATAGTATATTTCATGTCATTTAAGCCTATATAATATTATTCATTACTTGACATTTGACACATGCATGGGCACTAGAAGAAAAAAAAGTGTTTAAAGGGGTCAAAATCTAATATTTAAGTATGTTTTTGACATATTTAAATAGATGAAAGTGTTCACATGTATGGGACAGAGTGTTTATGTCATTAAAGCCTATTAAATAATATATGTCATTAAATCCGTATAATATAATATAATATTTTGCATGACATTTGAACAGTGTATATGGGCACTAGAAGTAAAAAGGGGTCAAAATCTAATATTTAAATTTGTTTTTGACAGATTTAAATTGATGGAAATGTGTATACATGAATGGGACAGTGTGTTTCATGTCATTTAGCCTATATAATATTATTCATGACATTACATTTGACACGTGCATGGGTGCTAGAAGGAAAAAAAGTGTGAAAAAGGGGTCAAAATCTAATATTTAAATATGTTTTTGACAGATTTAAATTGATGGAAATGTGTTAACATGTATTTGACAGTGTGTTTCGTGTCATTTAAGCCTATATAATAGTATTTTCAAACCTATATAATATTGCCTATATAATATTGTGCATTACATTTGACACGTGTATGGGCACTAGAAGAAAAAAGGGGTCAAAATCTAACATTTAAATATGTTTGTGACTTATCTAAATAGATGGAAATGTGTTTACATGTATGGGACAGTGTGTTTTATGTCATTTAAGCCTATTATATTATTATTAAGCCTAATATTATGACATAATATGTGACGTGTATGAAACCAGTAGAAAAAAAGTGTAATAAAAAGGGGTGGAAATCTAATATTTAAATACGTTTTGGACATATAAATAGACGGAAATGTGTTTATTACGCAGGTGTTTTAATCTGTGTGATTTTTGTTTGTGATTATTTGCCATTTATTTCAGTCTCTTGCTTTAGGAAGTGTGTCTCTTTTCTTCTGGAGGTTTGTGTTTTGATCTGCTGTTTGACCCTGAAATGACTGCTGGTTTCAGTTCAGTTTCTGTTTTGTATTTTAAAGCTGTTTTTGGGTTATGGATGTTTGGATATTTATGTGTGATTGCACTGCAAAAAACGATTTTCTTTTTTGTTTCTTGTGAAAATAGCTAAAAATTCTTGAATTAAGAAGCATTTTCAAGAAAATATTGTCTTGTTTTCAGAAATATATTCATTCATTCATTTAATTGTCGGCTTTATTAATCCGGGGTCGCCACAGCGCAATGAACCGCCAACTTATCCAGCACGTTTTTACGCAGCGGATGCCCTTACAGCCGCAACCCATCTCTGGGAAACATCCACACACACACATTCACACACACACTCATACACTACGGACAATTTAGCCTACCCAGTTCACCTGTACCGCATGTGTTTGGACTGTGGGGGAAATCGGAGCACCCAGAGGAAACCCATGCGAATGCAGGGAGAACATGCAAACTCCACACAGAAACGCCAACTGACCCAGCTGAGGCTCGAACCAGTGACCCAGCGACCTGTTGCTGTAAGGCGACAGCACTATGCCACTACTTCACCGTTTTCAGAAAGAATGAGTTAAAAATTAAGTGAGTTTTCCCCTAAGCTAAATACTCTGCATTTGGAGTAAGAAAAATAAACTATTTTTATTTATTTAATTTTTTAAAACAGTAGTTTAGCACCACTGACTGCTGGTGGGATTAACAAATTTTTTAATTGTTTTTATATGGAATTGTTTAGTATTTTAAAATGATTATAAATACAGTTATTCTTCAGTTAGAGAGCTTCTGTGATGTCATGTGCTGATGTCATTAGAATATATAAATATATACAGTG